TGGGTTGTAAGAAATAGTAGGAAAAAATGCCTCATTGCACAGCAAATAAATTCGCATTGCCAAAAATCACCTGATCTTTTCTTCACGCCTTGAATAAAACTTCGTTGGTCTTAAAGGTGCCACTGGACTCTAACTTTGTTCTATTGCTTCAGACCAACATGGCTACCCATCTTGATCTACTCAAAAGTAAGTCACAGTGAGTTCAGTTATACTTACTTCCAAGTGCGTGTGCACAGGTTTACACCCTTAGTTATTAACCGCTTTTATTTTTAAAAAGTTATATTCATCCCTCCCTTCCACCCAGCGGATTCTGTTGCATCCCTGCCCATTGGGATCGCCTTGGCCGTCTCACGTTCCCAGCAAGATTCAGTGACGTCACGTGTAGCTGGGGCCCTGGCCTCGCTCGTGATTACGAGCAACTGACCCTTTTAATTTTTTTAATGGCCCAGAGGAACTTTCACCTTACAGTCCTTCTGCACTTTACTAAAGGAAGCGTGAAAGATCGCCTGAAAAAAGGATGCTGGTGTCTCCCGCCCCCCTTATGAGTATTCATAAGCCTAGTCCGGCCGCGCGCCGAGACCCGTGGGGGCGGTGCTACGGTGGCCGCTCCGCCCCTCCACCAAGGCATGCGTCGAGGTGGGCGTACCTAAAACAGCTACGTGCCCCGCTCCCTTGCTGAATATTGATGAGACGTGTTGGGAAGCGTGCTGTCGTCATGGCCGGCGCGTACTGCGATTGAACACAGTCGTGTGTGCGTGGTGACGTGAATCGTGGCGGTGCGGGTCCCGATTGCTGCAGCCGCTTGTCAGTGTGACGAAGATTGGCACCCAGGTAAGCGCTGTCACTCAAACCTGCTCCTAGCCAGCCAGCCATCCATCACGGCGCGCCCGCCGCCACTGTCGGCCGTCTTGGCTCAGACGCGCAAACAGACCCGGGGCTGTGGGGCAGAAGGAGGGGGGGACAGGCGATTCCGCCCCACTGAAAAGCGGGGCGGGGGCATCCGCACCGTAACCTACCCGGAGGGGGGTTAGGGGCGTCGGCAGGCAGGCAGGCGCGAGGAAGGAAAGGGGAGGGGGGAGTGAGGAAATTTCTGGAACAGCCGCCGACTGGCCGTTGCTTTGGGAGGAGGAGGAGGAGGAGGAGGAAGCGCGCGCGATGGAAGGGAGGGAGCGAGAGCGGGTGTCGCGCGCCTCAGGGGGTGGAGTAGGTGAGGGGGGAGGAGGGGGAGAGAGAAGAAGAAAAGGGCAACAGCTGTTTGTGGCGCGAGACGAGGCGGTGGGGGGGGAATGGGGAAGGCGGTATTTAAAGGGGCCGTCTTCAGGGACATTCCGATAGTTGCGAAGCGGTGCAAGTGGACGCGCAGCTGTTGCTCCTTTCTTGCGCCCTCCCCCCTGGTTTCTCTGCCGGCTCTCGGAGTGGGGCTCGCGCTGCCTTGTCTGTTGGCTTTTTTCGCTCAGCAGGGAACGGAGGTGATGCGAAGCAAAGGCGTGAGGGAAGGGGCTGGTTCTGTCTTCCAGCCCGGTCCCTCAGAGTGGTTTCCAGCTGCGTCCCCCTCCTTATAGCGCCTCTCACGCGTATTTGATACGGGGACGCCATGTGGTGTGGGAGGTGGTGGTGGGGAATAAAATCTATGGGAATTGCGTTGTATAATTTTCGTAGTTAACAATAAATTTGGGCGTTATTGACTCCTTGGTTTCTGATGTTTGTTTGGCGATCCACGTGCCCTGATGAAAGCCAGGAATATGTGTTTCTAGAGTTTCAATCTGAAAGACCAATATATGGCAGAATGCATTAAAACTTTGGGGAGGAGGACTAGCATGCAGTCTGCAAGGAGTTACTACCTCGACCCTGCTGGCATCAGATGTTTCTAGCAGAGGCCCGGGAGAGTGGCTCATATTCCTAGTTGCAACCATCACATTTTAAAATATGCGCTGGTAAAATGACTTAATTTTGCTTGATGATGATAAGAATTAGTTCTATTGCAGAAGCAAATTCACCCTATTTATTATGCTGGATGATACAGATCCATACACTTTTTCAAGCTGCATTATTCAATTGATAATTTAAAACTTGAGCAAAGCACTGAAAATATAATAACCTACTGTTCATATGTACTGGGTGGAGGAAGCAAACAATGGGAATTAAATGGTATATATAAATTCTGTGTTTCATATCAGTTTTGGGAAACAAAAATTATATGTATTTACAGGATGTCAGGGTTCTTTTTACAAAGTTCCAAAGTATTAATGGTAATGTTGCAGGTTTTGCTGTTGATATTTACAGTCTAAACTGTTTTTCTCACCAAACCAAGGGCTGACGTCTCCAGTAGGTACAGTGCCTAGGGCCCATTATACTTGTAGGGGCTCATGAAAATGTTCTACTTTTTTTAAAATCAGAAGGAAAAAGAAGAACTCACAGGAAAAAATGAAATATTTAGGGCCCACAAAAATTTATTAAATTTTGCCTAAAACAGAAAAAAATTGAAGTATTTAAAGTTATATCAAAAATAATTAATATTGATATTGTAGTGGAATAGGCCCATGAAGGCATAAGTACCTTGTGCCCACAAAACTTGTAGGGCCAACAAGTATGTTTTATTTTTTCTTAAGAAAAAACATGTAGTATAATTTATTTTCATGCCTTTGATATATGCCCTATTATTTTGTACTATAATAAGAAGCTTAGTGACTGTAATCTGTATGGCCGTTATGACTTGGGCCATAGGCACCAACTGAATGATGGTGGATAGGAGGTTCACTTAGCCTCAACACAGTTTGCTTCTTGCTGTGGTATTTAGGCAAAAATTATATGGTAGACACATTGCTGTGATGTTGGCTGGGCCTGGGTCATTTTTGGGTTAAGTCCCCCCCCCAATGATCAGCTGATTGGTGGCAGGGTGGTAAGGTCTAGTTACACCTGGCAGCGGGGGACCCCCACCCTCCACCGGGGGTCTTTGACTACATTGGAATATATTTGACTTTATACCAACAGAGTAGTAAAATATAGCTTTAATATTTTTTATGGAGGATGGGGCTGGGCCCACAAAGACAAAAGTGCCCAGGGCCCGTAAGTCATAATGCGGCCCTGACCAAACCTTTTAATCAAACCCCTACAGGACCATTGCTCTTGTCTGTCATGACTTTTGATGTACTTGGAGGAATACGTGTTCTTTGCTAAAACAAGAAATCCAAATTACACATCAAAATAATGCACATTCTGTGTGAAAAGGCTGAATTGTGTCATGTATAGATTACAAAGAGTGTGTAGATTTGCTCATTTTGCCTAATTTTGCTGGTAATGAGAAAAAACTATACAAGGCATGGACGCTAAGCTTTCATATAGAAATGGTGCTCAGGTGTTTCCCCCATGGTTTTGGAACTGTCAGCTGACATTACCCACACACTCAGTCCTATCTCTGTACCCTTGCTTCTTTTAAAGGAAACAAAGGATAAGGATATGAATGCTTTACTTGCAGAGTGCAATTAGGAAAAACACAAGGCTTTATTAAGTAAACAGTGAAATTCTATCACAGCTAATGATAAAGCACATGGAGGTCTTATGCTCAAGGACATTGCTATTTAAAAATCAGTATGCAAATCTAGCTTGGATCAGCCTTGCAAATAAATAGTATAAGAGACGAAAGTGCCTAGAGGTGTGAAGGCCCAAGAAAAAAATGGGCCATTTTTTTTTAGAAAGTGTTTTTTCTAGGCACCCTTTTCAATTCTTCTGATTGAAACAATGGGAAATTTGGTGTAGTGCAGGGAGAAAATCTATGAAGTGTTTTCCGTTTTGGGAGTGAATGAAATGTTTTTTAAAAAACAGTTTTAATCATTAAAATGCATAGCATAAAACAGTATGTAAAATCATTTACACCATTAGGTAACTAATTCTGATTTAGTGTTGACATGAGCAAGGAGATGTTTATCGTTGAAATGTGAATGTTGGCAACAATTATGTGTTTGATAATACTATATTAAGGAATTCAGTGTTTTCAGTGCTCAGAAGTTTGTAGCTAGTGGCCATTTCTGTCCAAATAATTTGTTATAGCACAATTTTGTGTTTTTTTAATTTCTATTTTTATTTTTCTCTGCCTCTCAGATGACAAAAATAACATACATGTCCTATGGTAACATAAGGTGCAGCAGTTTGCAGCTCTGGCTAAATTTACTTTACAACTATATTTTTTTTAGAAAATGAGGCATTTATACTTTAAAATCCCACAAGTATCTCATATAGTGGAATCTTACATGCTAAGTTACAAACGATGTATTTTAATGCTGTTAAAAAGCAGTTGAACAAGTTTAGCTTTAATAGGGTAATAAATATTATGTAAATTTCAGTCCTTCCCCAAATTCCATTTTTGGAGGGATAAGTCCCCCTGCCAATGCCTTCAAAAATGAAGAAAATTACTTTCTTGTTTTCCTTTGAATCTAAGGGATTCAAGCTCTGGTTCACCAACTGTCATGATGGAATAAATGTTGTTAGCCCCTGGACTTCTGTTTTGTCCCAATATTTCTGGACATTTTACATTTCTGACAGTGCAGCTTGTATCTCTTTGCTTACAATGGAAATGTTAGAGTGTTCTTGTGAACAGGGCCTGGGGTGCTACTACAACCTGGATGAGCTGAGAGGTAGCACTGTACTGCTGCGCTGGTATATCAAACATTGCCCGATTGCTGTTTGTCCTTAGGGAATACCAGCATAGTTGCTAACAGGAAGAGGAGGGTTTTTTGCCTCAGGGCAACTGTTTCTTGACTTTCAGCCCTTGACAGGATAATTGTACTTTTAAACTTATGAATGTGAACTTCCAAGAACAGGACCTAAAATAAAGTGACAGTAGTTTTAGCCAAGGCCACTGCAGAGTTGTCCAGCAAAAATATTTAAATAACCAGTTTACCGCGTCTTACTAATAACGTCTAATGATTTCTAACTGCAATCCTGAGCAGTTGCAACCTTCTAAGCCCACTGACTTCCAACACACTCAAATGGGTGTAACTCCATTTAGGACTGCACTGTACATAGCCTATCACTAAAGATGGCTGGTTTGTTCATTTTAAACATAGGTAGAATTTGGTTTAAATTCCTACCCTAGTTTCTTCCTAGAGATGTGAAGGCCCGGGAAAAAACCGGAAAAATTCGAAAAAAAACCCCGTTTTTTCCCCCGTTTTTTCCTGAAGCCTTTTTTGCTAATGTAGCATTTTTTTCAATTTTTCCGAAAATTTCCGTTTCCCCCGAAAAAACCCGGGAAAAACCCGGGGTTTTTTCCAAGCTTCAAAATTTCCGGAAAATTTACATCTCTATTTCTTCCTTTTCTCATTTGATAACATTCCTCTCTTTATTCAAGTTGTGGTCAGATCCTTCAAAACATTAGTTAGCTAGAGACTGGAATAGGATGGATAGCAGTGTCCCAAACCTCGGCCATTAGAGCCTCAGATGCAGAGAACAGACGGAGTTCTCACTGCCTTCATCTGCTTCTTCCTTGGCCTTTCTTCTGCAGCCTGTGGAGAGAGCTAATGCTATACTCCTCACTGGCCTGTAATCTGGTCTCTTATGTGGGCTGGTGTAGTGATCAGCATGTACCCAGTTGGTCTTCCCAACCTCACATAAGTCCAGGAATGAGAATTACCAAATTGATTTTCCTCATCCTGCTGCCCTTCCACAGCCTTGGACTAGCTTCAGCTGCTCACAGTGGTGGCAGTAGGGCCTTAAAGGGCCCAGGCTGTAGCCTGTTCCTCAGGGTGGCTGTGCCCTTCTCCTGTGCCAGGGAGGGAGATTGAAAGCTGCTCTGAGACGCCAAGACAAGGTCCGGGTATAAATCCAGCTCTCCTCCT